AGGGAGTCCCCAGAAGGTGCACTTTCCAGTACCCCCTCTAAGGACTCCAGAAAGGGCGGATAATCTGAACTGCCGTTTGGTGCATAAGCACAAACGACAGTCAGAACCCGTCCCCCCACACGTAGGCGGAGGGAGGCCACCCTCTCATTCACCGGGGTGAACCCCAATACACAGGCACCAAGTTGGGGGGCAATTAGTACGCCCACGCCTGCTCGGCGCCTCTCACCAGGGGCAACTCCAGAGTGGAAGAGTGTCCAGCCCCTCTCAAGGAAACTGGTTCCAGAGCCCGAGCCATGCGTAGAGGTGAGTCCGACTATTTCTAGCCGGAACCTCTCAGCCTCACACACCAGCTCAGGCTCCTTCCCCACCAGTGAGGTGACATTCCACGTCCCAATAGCCAGCTTCTGTAGCCGAGGATCAGACCGCCAGGGTCCCCGCCCTCGGCCACCACCCATCCCACATTGCACCCGACCCCTTTGGCCCCTCCCACAGGTGGTGAGCCCATGGGAAGGGGGACCCACGTCTCCTCTTCGGGCTGTGCCCGGCCGAGCTCCATGGGTAAAAGCCCGGCCACCAGGCGCTCGCCCACGTGCCCCACCTCCAGGCCTGGCTCCAGAGTGGGGCCCTGGTGACCCACGTCCGGGCAAGGGAACACTAGGTCCATTTGTGTTTCTCATCATAGGGGTGTGTTTGGGCTGCACTTTGTCTGGTCCCTCACCTAGGACCTGTCTGCCATGGGTGACCCTACTAGGGGCATAAAGCCCCTGACAGCATAGCTCCTAGGATCATTGGGACACTGAAACCCCTCCACCTCGGTAAGGTGGCAGCCCAGGGAAGGGCTGTTTATTTTTATGTAAGAAAACTGCTTGGAATGGAAAAATACCAAAGTTAAAAAATAAAATTCACAATTTGTACTGTAATGTGTAACATAATTTTCTTTTTGTTAGAATTAATATTAATTACACAATTGGTACCGAAAAAAGAACCGTCCAGGAACTGATACCAAAGTGAAGGTACCGACACTGGTACCGATACGTATTTCTTTTAGAAAGGTACTCAGCCCTAAGGACATATTCAAACTTTGAACACTTTAACATTTATGTTCATTGTGTGAATAGGCAAAGTTTTAAAGTGTTTTTTAAAACTTTTAATTCTACAAATATTTACTTGATATTACTACTGCTGTTATGATTTTATTCAGTTTTATGTAAAAAGTTTTCTTTGATAATTTGAAGGTGGCAACATATTAATTATGTTCATTGTGTGAATAGGTAAAGTTTTAAATTGGTTTTTGATCCTGTTAATTTTCTCAAAACTGTAATTTTTGGAAGTTGAAATTAAAAAATTGTTAATTAAGTGTCTTGATTGAAAAATATCCCACGCTTAAACTAGTATATAAATTGTATTAACACTATTAAGAACAGGTCTTAAGTATTTATGTTACAAATATTTCCATAGCATTAATTCAATTCAAAATACTTTATTAATTCCAAAGGGAAATTAAATGTTGTAGGCTAGCTCATCATCCTGGTTTCATTAAGAGTTGTTATAGATGCTGTGGCTGTGGGCAGGAAGGATCTCCCGCAGCAGTCTGTATCACAGTGGGCCTGAAGAAACTGGCTGCAGATGCAGATCAGTCCACCTGGATCCAGCGGGTCTCTCGGTCCTGCTGGGCTGCAGGAGGACCACCTGAATGTTGAGCAGAACTCCTCCCTGAGTGATGATCACTCCTCTCAGCAGCTTGTTGAAAAGGTTCTATGTGAGAACTTCAGCTCCTCCAACTCTTGCACCCAGGAGAACAATTATATTACCACCAGCTTGTGCTACAGACAACAGTGGAAATTGTTCTACTCTGCCCACTTCCACCTGCTCAACTTCCAGATACCCAGTTCTTCCACAAATACAAAAAGCTACAATTACAGACAGAAACCCAGTACCTCCACCTGGTGTGTCCAGCAGAACAACTTACCAGTACAGAAAATTGAGTAGTACAGATAACGGTGGAAACCCCTCTCCTCCGCTCACTTCATTCTGCTCAATTTCCAGATACTCAGTTCTTCCACAAATACCAAAATCAAACAGAGGAGTAAACAGAAATTAAATAGGTATTCCACTAAACCGAAGGACAACGAGTCAAACAGGAAACTGCACCTCTGTCTCGGTCTGGTCTCAGTGCTTTTAACAGCATGGCCGTCATCCCACCAGTTACCAACGCTGATGACAGAAACCCCACTCCTTTGTTCAGTGCTACGCAAAAGACAAATAAAAAACCTCTGCTCTCATAAAACAAAAAACAAGATTGTCGTCAGGGTTTACTCCAGGTGCTCTGGTTTGCCTCACCATTGCAAATTTTTTTTAAGTCGTGTAAAAATGTATGTTAGTTGCGTGTTTGTGTGAGTTGTCCCTGCATTTTACAGAGTGAATGAATGTTTGAATTTAAAAAATGCAGCAGCGTAGTGGTGGTTCAAACTGTCACCTGAAGTCACCGGTCTGTAGTTTGAATTCGTTCCCATGCGTGCGAGGGTTTTCGTTAGGATAATAAATCAAACATGGCTGCTCTCGTCCTGCTGACGTCAATTCACAACAAGAGACGAGCTGGGACTCTAGAGTTACTAGTCAATGTTTTGGACCAACTAAATGCAGTGATTTTTCACAGCAGCATTAACTTATTCTTTTGTTGAAAGACTGTTGTTTTCTAAACCTGAAAAACAATATAAAAAGAACCCAGACCAGCTATTAGCCTTAGCCCAAAGACATGAGCTGGACACCAAACAGGATCTCAAAAGTTGAAGTTGGAAGAGGTCCCAAGTCCCCATAGAATGGTCCTAGATCAAGGTTTAGGTCTTGCCCCTCCAAATAAAAGAGCATAAATTTTCCCTTGATAATAAAAAAATAATCAAAACTAACGTGTTGACTCGTTCCTTCACATAGTCCATGTATTGGTTTTCTCCATGCTCTGTTGTTATCCTCATTAGTGTAGTGGTGAGTATCCCCCGGCTGTCACGCAGGAGACCGGGGTTCGATTCCCCGACCGGGAGAACATCTTTGGGAGCCAAGATGGTGCAGCCAACTTGGGACCAGAAAGTCGCAGGTTCAACTCCCTGCCATGCCTACATACCGTGGTGTCGCTGAGCAAGACACCCAATTGATCCCTGGACAGCTTACATAGTTGCCCACTGCTCCACCTGGGTGTATCTCAGGTGTGATGGGTTAAATGCAGAGAACTAATTTCTTCATTGTATGGGAATAGGCCCGTCGCAATAAACAATAAATCAATTAATCGCATGATAAATTAAAATTATTGACCTCATTTCCATTAATCGACTTCATCGTTTCTTCGTCTTGTCGAAGCTCCAAAATTCACAGTTGAAACTTGTGCCTTCATGTAAAAAGTTGTTTTTCCTCTGCAAAAAGAAGCTGAGAACTTATTTATTGGTTTTTTGTTAAAAGCTTTGTGTGAAAAATGCTCTGCTAAAGAGCTCAAACCACACCGAGCGTCCGCCATTTAGAGAACCGAAAAAAGGAAGGAGCGACAGTCCATGTCATGTCAGGAGGCCTCCCTCCCATTTTTCTTAAAGAGACTCGCTGCTCGCTCCCTCACTATCCATCCTTCAGTTCAAACAGTCTTATACTGCCACCCAGTGGTCAACAAAAGTACTAGACCCAAAACAAATTAACCAACATTTCTTCTTAAATTTGACAATAATTACCAATTATTGTCAAATTTCTAACAATATTATCATTTATCGCAATAATTTCTGAGATGATTAATTGCCCAGCCTATATGGGAACATACAATGATGACAACACCTTTTACTTTACTTTTTATGGCTCATAACTTTGGATAACTATCTGGCGCAACATCTTGCACCTGTCCAGGTGTACCCCGCCTCTCACACAGTGACTACTGGAAATAGATGGCTGGATGGCTGGATGGACAACATCCTTCAAAAATCACCAGATTATCTGTTTAACAGTATGAAACATTTTGCTGATTAACTTTTTGCATCATAAGATATTTATGCTGAAATCATCTTAAAATATGAGGA